GTCTGAAGCCAGGAGACCACGCTTCACCTGCTCAGTCGTCGGTGGCTCAGGTGCGGGGGCATCTGGTTCGTCATCCGATTCGGAGTAGTCGGTGTCACTCTCCGCGTTTGAAATTTCCGAGCTGTCGGGGCTTTGCGTTTTCGACACAACACTAGCAGCACTCGAGCTGGCTGCGACTCCATAGGTCTTCTTCTTAGGTGGCATATCATCGCCGTCGCTGTCAGCATCGGTGTCGGAATCGCTCGCGGACGACTCGTGGGTGCCAGCGCTGAATCCGTAAAAATTCTCGTCGTCCGATTCAAGCGCCTTCGCTATTGCATCAGGGACTCCACACAGAATCGAGCTGCGTCGTCTACTAGATGTTGTAGCCATAATCAATCACAGCAAGTGGAGCCTCTTGAGTTACTCGACAATCGCTGGGAATCCTATTGTCTTCACCAAACACCTAATCAACATAACAAGAGGACAGCTCTTGAGTCTTGTCGAAACAAAAGTGACGAGTTCTGCGCTTCGCGTAACTTTGAGTCGCGTGACTTTGAAACTTCATAACTTGAATTTGATATCAAACGTCGTAGGGCGGTTTCTATAGTCCCTGGCTCATTTATTGGCCTTAGTGGTATTTTATAAAAAGTATTTATTGGCAACAAAGCCAATAAATACTGTTTATAAAATACCACTAGGCCAATAAATACTCCTTTTTAGGGAAAAGTGCAGTGCTGCATGCAAAAGTGCAGTGGTATTTATTGAGTCAAGCAAATGTATTTGAATTTGATACTGTTGATGGTGTGGTCACTAATGAGTGTGGGTATTTATGAAAGGTCAATATATGGTCGGATAGTGCGACATACAGGGTACAAAACTGACAAGGATATTGAGACATTCGACGACCTGACACCTGGCTTCAACGCATCTATGAAGGGCAAACCAAAAACCTTCCAACCTGGAACGCTCAAGTGCAGAAAAGTCTAAACTGGGGAAGGGATGCGCCACGAAGATGTGCACGAGCTACGTCCCTCGGCAACAAAGAATGTCGAACTTTACGGGATGATGATGACACTAGTAAGACGATTGGACAAACCGGTCTAACTATAACCCGAACACGCAAGGCCACAGACAACCCAACTTGGAAGGCTCAAAGGTATAATTATAAGCCGAGCGAGGACGTACATGTAGATGTCTTGGAGCTAGGTGTCGGGTGGTCGTGTTTCTCAAAATCCTCGTCAGTGTTGTCCCTTGTTGTCGCACTGTCTTACTGTATATTATCTTGTTACCTTGCTGGCCTGTTAGTAAGAAATAGGGACTTAAAGGTTGCAATTTCAAATTTGAACTTCACGGAGAATTTCAAAGTTTTAGGTAATTAGAGGCCACATGCCACGTACTGCTCTTTTCTCTCCGAAACTCAACACTTGCAAGCCAGATATGAAGAAAGAAAAAGAAAAGAAAAAAAGCAAGGTCCCTGGTTCGAGTCCCGGTAGTGTGACTGATGATTTTTTCTTTCTTTCATATCTGGCTTGCAAGTGTTGAGTTTCGGAGAGAAAAGAGCAGTACGTGGCATGTGGCCTCTAATCTCCTACTTCCTCCGCATCATCAAAATTGTCGCTTCGCGCATCGCAATATTTGTGACTTGGCTCGTCTTAGTCAGACTTTCGGAATCGTTGTTTTTTGTATTTGAACACTGGTGTGACCCTTCCTGCGCAATGTCTACTTGTCACTGAAGCCGTGGTGGTCTCGAACTTTGTCGAAGCTCTCTTCCGCACCAAGCGAATTCATTGCGCTCCGCACTATTCCGCCCCAGAGCGCATTTCGTTTTCTGGAGTTCGTGCCGTCCCACATCGTTCGCCTGGGCATTTGGCAAGACTGCAAGCTCGTCGGGTATAAGAATGCTGGTATCTCTCCTGAATACAAATTGCTGAAGTTGGCGATGGCAAGAACAAAGTGGTCTCAAATTCCTAAAATGCGCTACTTGTGGCGCATGTTGCTGCGAAGGCAGCAGGTCTGAAAACACCAACAAAATCAGCGAAGCGCCTGCCAAGGAAAGAAGGTGCGGAACTGCTTACCCTGTCCCGCTGGAAGGTCGTTACAGTGTACTTGAAAAATGCTAGCTTGCCTTCATCGCCTGGCACCTGGAGGCATGGATCGCCTGAAAACGAAGTTTCTTGACCTGAATTTGAACGCGCGTCTTGTTCAGCGTATTGTTGAGTGCTGAAGGGTCAGCCTCAAACTCTGATGAAGACGTCGACCCTAGCTGCAACTGCAGCGAAGCGGGGGGTCACAAACTAAAGCTTGGCCCGTCGACAATGCTCTGCCTCAATTTCTAGCTGATTTCTGTGCCCTTCGAGTGGACAACATAATTTTCGAAAAATCGCTGTGGGAAGCGACAATTTTAATGACGCGGAGGAAGTAAAACTTATAACTTCTTTTTTTCCATAAGGCCACACTTTGTTTTTCTATGTTTCTCGTCATCGCCCGCGTAGGTTTTCAGAAATTTCGGAAGAAAAATAAAGTTCATACTACGTACATGTGTACATGTATGTACGCTGCACATGCTGCAGCAGCCAGATGCGTCAATCAATAATCGTAAACGTTCGCACCACAGCATGCAGCAAAGGAGCGCTCCTCGTCCGACGTCCGTTCTCTGCGATGAAGGCTGTCATGACGAAGCTTTCAGTCGCTCACTGGCTTAGCTGAGCCTCGTGGGTCCTAGGAACAGTAAGTCGGACGAGTTCCGCGGCAACTGGCGTCTGTGGAACGATGTCGTAGGCAGAAAATCCAAGCAATAGACGCATGGCAAGGAAAAGATGAGCAGCATGGAGACAAGAGTTTGATAAGCGGAGATCAGAGTTTCATAAGCGGACACAAGAACGTTGAAGTAACAAAACCAAAAATTAATGACGAGTGGGAAACGTTTGTTGATGCGATAGCAGATAAATGTATGTTCTCTTCGCCATCTCGTAATCAAACTTTATGCTCTCATTGACATTGTTGCAGTTTGCCTGATATTCGTGGGCTGATGTGATAATGTAGTGCAATCATGTATGGGACTACATGTACATGATTGTACAATGTAGTACTGTATACATGGTATACGCAGTGCCTTGTATGAATCACGCATATACATGTACATTCTAAAATGTATACAGTTTTCAGTAGAAATTGTTCTTGTTTTTACCTTGGCTTTTGTTTTTTTTCCGCCCGCCCGCGTACCTTTTGTTAAAATTTGCCGACGAGAAACATAGAAAAAACAAAGTGTGGCCTAATACTAGAATTACCTGGTGACATTGTGAATGCTCTAGATTTACAGTAGTGACGTTCGTGACATTCGCAACATAATTTTCATTCATCACGATTTTTATATTGCATTAAGGAGGAGGAGCTGAAGTCACATTGCGATGGAGACGATGCGAAAACAATGTACACACACCTCAACTCAATCATGGCTGTCTCACGCCCACCTTTCACTTGATGAAATAATCACTTGCATTGTTCTGACTTAGTGCTAGCTTGTAACTTGTTGCAGATTACATGTAGTGGCGTGAATTATGAATTATGTGGCTGTATCTGTACTGTCTTTTATTATAACAGCCAACGTTGTATCATTCTTCTCCTATATCCCTGATGATGCTTTCCTGGGTGGAAATTCCGACAATTCATTGTACGCGGTGTAGCCAATGATTGTGCGTGTGGTGCGAGTTGGGTGTACTGAAAATGACAGCCTACAGAAGAGTTTCAAAGTTCATGAAATAATATTGAAACGTTGATTCATGGAAATTGGCCTATGTCCATTCCCCTTGGTACTTTTGGTCGTCTTTAAAGCAGAGTATGCCTGTCTCATTCTGCTCCTCTGGTTAAGCAGCATATTATGCAACTTGCGAAATTACAGGTCACTGTCTAATGCACTTACCTCTAAAGCAAACAGCGCGAAATAGCTTTGCAGTATACATCTTAACGGGACCGATGATGGATACAATCCTTTCGCCCGGAACTCCTTCAAAATCGAGCCATGCGTTGTAACCTTTATAGGGACTAGCACCGTTAGTTGTCGCACACCAGCTGAGCTCTGGAGCCAATAGTTGCATTTGTTTGTTGGTGCACATCCCTTTTGCAACCTCGTAAGACACGTTGTTGGGTGAAACAGCTTGAATTACGACTTCTGTCTTAGGTCGATCGGCTGAGACACGGGTGCAGATTAGGTTACCTGTATTTGGCAGGTATGGACAGACATGGATGAAGACAAGAGAGCCAGATAATCCACATGCTAGTGAATACTTGCTGACATTAAGCAGTAGGGCTGGAAGTTGTTTTGGTCTGGGGAGGAGGGTGGGGGGGGGGGGGGGGAAGGAGGGAGAGGGGGAGGGAGGGAGAGGGGGAGGGGGGGTGCCAAATTCCACACTGAGTCCCACTCCAAGCGTACCTTACCCCCAAGAGTGTGCAACTTGACTATGCTTGCCTACTCGTATAAACATACCGGTGTATGCGTGGTTTACCTGTACCGGTGTACGGGTAATCCCTCTATGGAGAGTTGTTTGTGTTCAACTAAATCACTCTGCGTTGGTTCTGACACCTCTTTCGCAATATGTAACTCTATATCACGATAATATGTCCATTGGACATGTATTGAGCATTCGTGAAAACCGAGTGCGATACCCTAGTAGCAAGAGTATTATAATTATACACTTGCCAGTGGTAGAATTATTTTTAAGCCTCTTTTGCGGGCGAACAAAACAAGACGTAGCTATGTCAAAGAAAAATGAAAAAAGGCCCAACCCCGCCCTGCCAGTTATGGGGGCTTACAGCGGTCGCCATGGAAAATAATAAAAAGTAAAATTGCGCACATTCGGTCTCTCCGCCTTCTCCAGTAGTAGAAGAACAGGCATATCATACAGTCAAGACGTTTCCTGACCTGGCCCTGCCAAGTACAACAATTGACTGCATAATATGAAGTTCAATTGATGTGCAACTTCTCATTTGCACGTGCAAGCATTCTCATTGATCCTGTTTCGGCCCTATATCCGCCAAAAAGGTTTGGGGCTTGTGTGACAACTGTGTGCTGAAGGGCAGTTATCTATCTATTTCTGAATTAGTGACGCTACTACAGGGACCATCACATCCGTTTGCTTTGCGATGTAAAATAAATGATATGCATATAAATACAATATTGGACGTATTGCTGTAAAGACAGCAGAAAGTGTTTATCACCAAAACACCGGATATATGGTTAAAAGTACAGTTCTATATCCAAAATCACGATTATCGTGTTCTGCTCATTGTGCCGGGTACTCGTTTTCGAATACATACAATTGTACATAAACTTGCATTAATGCTTTGTTCATCATCAGGCAACTCCTCAGGCCTGCCATGCAAAGTCAGTAGAAATGTTTGCAAAGAGTACAAACACATTGAACTGTTTGGACTTTGGAGAGACTTTACAAGCTTACATGATGGAGCTTCGCGTAGTGTTCCGTCAGCCAGACATGTTGTGTTTATACCGAGTGCACGTGAAAAACCTGTATTACAGGTGTAGTGCACCTGGTCATCCTTAAGGATAAATTCATCGATACTGCCTCCATTAGCAATGGCAGGTACAAAGCAGGCGACTAGTGGACAGAGGAACACAACAACCAAAGTATAAATTCGCAGCAGTCAACATTAAGATGTACGGCTACACTCACTCAAATCCCACGGAAAGTGCAAAATCCGCGACCTGGATCTCTTTCGCTAACATCACTTTATTTGCCCATGTACTTTATACAGCCTTTTGTATAGCCAAAAACCACACATTCTTATCATAAAAACCCTAAGATAAATCCGGAATAGATAACACAAAGCTGTGGGTACTTTTCAACGACACCAAACAAACAGCCGTTAAACTGGTCTGGATCTGGCTTTCCACCACGGTCACCTTCCAGAGCTCGATAGCTGGACGATGCTATGCAGACCGAGACCCACGAACACACATATTTTTTTTTGTTGGTTTATTTGAATTCAGATAACTCAACAGGACAGAAGTACAACTACGAAGAGTACCGAATAGACATGACATTGGAACTGGGCAGGTAAGAAGAGAGCCTGCAGTGTACTCCCCATGCAACGTCTATTATTACAGCAAAACCTGTGAAGGCGATCACCTGCCTCAAAGAACCATTGTAACCAGGATCAAGAGGTGCTATTATTATTTATTATTATTATTATTGTAAAACTCGGATGTTGAGCCATAAATAAATGTAGAAAGGAAAAAGACATTATGGATACGAGTTAAGAATCATGTTACAGTGATGGAGAGTTACTCTTAACTCGTATCCATAATGTCTTTTTCCTTTCTACATTATTATTATTATTTATTATTATTATTATTTTTTTTGAGTGGATGCAAGCCTCTTTTACGGGCAAAAATTAACACAATGTATTAAAATGCAATACAACATACACTGGAGAAGAAATCAGGAAAATAAAATATGAGCTCAAAAATGGAACGAAAAATAGCAAATAGAATTATTATTATTTATTATTATTTTTTAAAAGAGGTCGGAGGCGGATAATACTTTAAAACGAAGGTAAGTTATGGGTCGCAAATATCCACGCAAACACACATCCAGTCATAATAAGGCACTTGTCATAAGTATCCGAACGTTTTCGGTCCCTTCTCATCAAGGATTATACAGGGAATGGCTCAAGCTGGAAAGACTAAAACTTATATAGCGTAAAGATAATTAGATAACAACACTCGTGACAAGGTGGAAAATTATCAAGTTTAGCACGACACAAAACTCGAAGGAAAATAATAATAGTGACAACAACATAGTGAGCAAATTAAGTTACATTGTTACCACCTCGACGAGGAGTAACACCAAACAATTGTAGCGACAACACATTTTCTTTCTGTACGCAAAGTTCAGGATCTAACTTACGGATATACAAAGCTTCTAACACAGCCAAATGTAACGCACATCTACCACGTGACAATATTGAGAAAACATTATCACTGTACAACTCACGGCAATTGGTACGGGCTGACAGATGTTGCTTGATTGACGAAGTGCGATTCTTAGCTCCATTGGGTGTTGTCTCCTCCAATGTCCCGTCATCTCGCCTCTTTGTGGCATCACCACTATCTGTCTCTTCGCGTTTCCGCGGCCTTCCACGTTTCTTGACACTAACCGTTGGGTGCGCGATACCCGGTGTCCTTTCCGTTACGTCTCCTCCATTGCGGATTTCTATTGAGCTTCTTACTCCAACTTGTCCGGTGTCCGATATTGAGGTTAGTTTTCGCGGTCTACCACGTTTTCGAATATTGACTGTTGTTGTCACTTCCGTTGTCGTTGTACGTTCGTCCTCATCAGTCCGTATTTTCACTTGGCTTCTCGTCACCCTTTCCGACGCCGACAGATCCTTTGTCAGTTTCGGTGGTTTACGTGTGGGTCTTTCACCATCTTTTATGCTGTTCTCAGCTGGCCCGTGTCCTACACACGCAGAGGAGGACGGGCATGCAGTCACATCTTCACGGGAAGAAGAAGATCCACCGATGGACTGGACAGCACATTTTGGAGGACGACCACGGCTATTATTATTTATTATTATTATTATTTATTTTTATTTATTTTTAAACAATCGACGAGGAGACAATAGTCGTAAAATGGCAATAAATAAGATAAATTGTGCACTCATAACCACAGCAAAAATGAAGAAAGTCAAGTTCCATAACGTTTTCTTGTGACTGTCATCAGTGGAACGCCGTCACATAAAAATGTAATAACTAAAACACACACTTATATACATGTAGCTAATATGGTTTCAGGTAGAAATACAGCAGCTATTATTATTATTATACGCATTCCCGCGTTGAAGTGTAGCAGCAGTATGCTGCGTCCACAGCTTCGCTTATGCAGAATGGCTTGGGTGAGAGGAGAGGGGAGAGAAAGCAACAAGGCAACCAACATCTATGAAATTGGTCACAATAACATGAAGAGAACCAACCTACATACATGTACGCATGATTGCACAAGAATGGAGACGACCAAATATAATGGCTATAATCATTGTGCCACAAAACCGGTACACAGGAGATCTGACGACAATGTAACGAAACATAAAACTCAGTTACTCAATACAGGTTCCACTAAATTACAAGAGAACAACGCTACAACGTTAGAATTGCCGCTAAATTATCGCAAGTGTAGAGAACGAGTCCAATACAAATGAAAACCATGAACAGACTGTCCCGAAGTTATTTTGGGAACAAATTGTACTACATGACTGTACTTGCTGATACTGACGCTGACGGAACACGAATTTGAGTTGAATACTCACGAAGTCTTGTACATGCACATCATTATGCGCCGGTGTTGTGGAGTAAGCAGGTGCGTCAGTCACCAATCCAGCTTCAGCTCCACGCTCGCTTCAGCAGAATGTTGCCCGCGTTTGCTTTGCCTCCACACGGATAGACGACCAGCGCAGAGTCCCGCAGCTCCGTGGCCGTAAGGTCTTGATATTCGCCGTTAGCGCCGTCAAGTCTCAGTCCACCTCTCACACCAAGCCGCCCTATAAAAATCTTTCTCTCTCCATTGGAGTGCTCCCCAGTTGCGCGAGGAGACTAGAGAAATTCCTCCGGTGAGCGAGGAAGAAGAGCGGAGTTACCCAACTCAACCTAACCTACAGCAGCTAACAAGTACAAAAAGCGAAGTTTGCACCTTTGTAATGTGTGAATATAGTGTATGTGAGAAAGGTAGTGGCAGATGAATGTGATACTGTGTGAATGAATGTAATGGTGCGTGTGTATTATTTGAAGAGTGTGAGTGATACAACGTTTTCTTTCTGTTTACATAGCACAGGGTCACGAGTACGAATATACACAGCTTCCAACACCTGCAGTTGCTTGAAGAAACGTGCGCAACGAATAACACTAAACCAGGAATCGTCAAACACCTTACGACATTCTGGACTGGACACCAAATGCTTGTACACTGCAGACTTCCTCTTGTCAACATCAAACTCCTCCTCATCACTACTCTCATCCTCCACCTCCATTCCAATGCCGCCGTCCATCCCATCGCACTCGTATTCGTCGTCATCAGTCTCCATCTCCTCGCGACACCGCTTCCCTCTCCTTGATTCGTTCTGTGCCGTGCCTGTGCTTCCTCCTGCGTCTCCTTGCCTTGTGTTCTCCACTTGTCTCAGACGTGCCTCTGCTAGTCTCTTGCTTCTCCTCGGTTCTGTTCTGTTTTCAAGTTGTTCCCCTTCCGCTCTTACCGTTGCAGCAACATGGTTTGTTGAGGAGCGACCGTCCGGCGGCCTCCCTTGCCGTGGTCCGGTTTCCGAGGGGGGAACCAGACAACCAGGTATTTCTACCTGAAACCATATTAGCTACATGTATATAAGTGTGTGTTTTAGTTATTACATTTTTATGTGACGGCGTTCCACTGATGACAGTCACAAGAAAACGTTATGGAACTTGACTTTCTTCATTTTTGTTGTGGTTATGAGTGCACAATTTATCTTATTTATTGCCATTTTATTTATTTTTATTTTTATTTATTTTTATTTTTTAAAAGAGGTCGGAGGCGGATAATACTTTAAAACGAAGGTAAGTTATGGGTCGCAAATATCCACGCAAACACACATCCAGTCATAATAAGGCACTTGTCATAAGTATCCGAACGTTTTCGGTCCCTTCTCATCAAGGATTATACAGGGAATGGCTCAAGCTGGAAAGACTAAAACTTATATAGCGTAAAGATAATTAGATAACAACACTCGTGACAAGGTGGAAAATTATCAAGTTTAGCACGACACAAAACTCGAAGGAAAATAATAATAGTGACAACAACATAGTGAGCAAATTAAGTTACATTGTTACCACCTCGACGAGGAGTAACACCAAACAATTGTAGCGACAACACATTTTCTTTCTGTACGCAAAGTTCAGGATCTAACTTACGGATATACAAAGCTTCTAACACAGCCAAATGTAACGCACATCTACCACGTGACAATATTGAGAAAACATTATCACTGTACAACTCACTATTTTTATTTATTATTATTATTATTATTTTGACTGGTTTGAGGGAAAGAGACAAACGGGAAAAGTCTGAAGAAAAAATTGACTGTCACCACCAGGACTCGAACCAGGGACCCTCGCTTGTTATTATTATTATTTTTATTTATTATTATTATTTATTATTATTATTATTATTATTATTATTATTATTTATTATTATTATTTATTATGTAAAAGAGAAAAGGACATATGGAAACGAGTTAAGAGTAACTCTCCATCACTGTAACATGATACTATATACAGTCAGAAAGTGCAATAACTAGGCACAAAACTGACAGAGTACTGAGACATTCGACGTCGAGATGTGTTGAAGTTAGTTGTCAGGACGTCGAATGTCTCAGTACTCTGTCAGTTTTGTGCCTAGTTATTGCACTTTCTGACTGTTTAATTATAGTATCATGTTACAGTGATGGAGAGTTACTCTTAACTCGTTTCCATATGTCCTTTTCTCTTTTACATTTATTTATGGCTCAACATCCGAGTATCAAATTATTTATTATTATTATTATTTATTATTATTAATGAGGGGAAGGCAAGCGCAACGAAAACGAGCACAAGCTACAGTCCCAACGGAACAAAGAATGTCGATTGTCACTGGACGATGACAAGACCAGTAGGCGATTTGACAAAGCGGTTCCAAGTTGGAAGGCTGTCGGTTAGCGCTACGGAGATGTGTTGAAGCTATTATTATTATTATTATTATTATTATTATTATGAGTCTTTATTCCACTCCAAATTGAAAATAAAAATAAAAATTGGAGGTATTACACTAACTCACCGGACTTATCATAGCCAAAGGTAAGCAGCACGGAATAATATATGGAAAAAAGTAAGGTAGAGAGAGAGGAAGGGAGAAAGGCGCATGTACCATCACAGGCATTAAAGCTCAGAGGTATCATGACAACAGGTAATGCAGAAAGGGAAGCATCAGAAGTTGGCGAAAAATTCAGGCCGGCAAAGCTCATCACTGGGCACAACCTCCAATGCGCACCCAAAAAAAGATCAAATACGAATACCCACAGAAATACCACAGTGTTTCAATTACAAACTAAAACGAATACAATAACATACAGAGCATAAAAAGCCCACCAGGGACAGCGAAGAGCCCTATGCTGCACCCAAAACAGATCTTAGAATGGCCATCGAGCCAAGGATAGCAGCCTGCTGCAGTTCACGAAGGTGCCGCTCTTCTCCACATAGCTGCTTAATTGAGGTAGCCGCTTCCTTCGTCAGGCCACCAAGAGCACCAACTATGATGGGCACTACGGACACTGCCTCTCGCTGCCAAATCTGCCCAATTTCCACTGCGAGGGCAAGTACTTCGCTCTCTTTTCAGCATGTTTTAGTGTTACTCTATGATCCAGTGGCACACTGACATCAATAAGTTGGACTGACTTGCCATCGTCCCACACAAGATCCGGCCGATTTGCTCCAACCATCCTATCTGTAGGGATTGGCATTTCCCACATTAACTTACGGCCTTCACTATCCTCGACGTAGTGTGGCAAGTGGCCAGGGGGAGCAGGAGATACCAGTCTGTAGCGATGACAGAGTGCCCGGTGGACTATAGCGGCAAGACGATTATGGCGAGTAATGTATGCTTTCTTAATTAACCACTTGACATTAACCTTTTTTAATCGTTTTCTTCCTTTTCAAAATTTAACCATTTTGTACACTTATTGTACACGTATATTTATTCTCGGAGACCCCCCCTTGATTTAGGCTTCGGCCTTTGGGGAATCCCTCAAACAATAATGATAATACAGTGAAACCTGTCTAAGACGATCGCTCAAGGGACCTGCAAAATGTGGTCTCGAGACGGTCTCCTTATCGAGGGCCGTTTGGCTGCGAATAGTTGTGTTCCATTCTGCCCGCGCCAAAGTTGAATTGAATTGAATTCGTTGTTTTCCATTGCTAGCCTAATCTTTATACTGCTCTGTCCAGGTTCCTTGAGTACCCCTTTTGTTCTGTTTTCTTTTTTTTCTCCTTCTTTTTCTCAGTTGTCCCCACCATGGCTAGTTAAAATCGCCCGCATCACATGCTTATTGGCACTATGTCATCGTGATTGTGGAATAATAATAATAATAATAATAATTCAAAGGATCTGTCAGGGAAGTGAACTGCCTGAAAAGAGAAAAAAACGCCAGACCCACCAGGACTCGAACCTGGGACCCTGCTTGTCATGAGCAATGCTCTAACCACTGAGCTATGGGACCAGGCTGAACTCAGAAGGCGCTGACAAGTTTTTCACTCCAAAGGCAGCTCACAACACGTGCCACACATACTGATGGCACTTGGGTCTTTTTCCCTCCCCCAGGGGACCAACCACGGTCCCCACGGTCCCCTCCCCTGGGGGAGGGAAAAAGACCCAAGTGCCATCAGTATGTGTGGCACGTGTTGTGAGCTGCCTTTGGAGTGAAAAACTTGTCAGCGCCTTCTGGGTTCAGCCTGGTCCCATAGCTCAGTGGTTAGAGCATTGCTCATGACAAGCAGGGTCCCAGGTTCGAGTCCTTGTGGGTCTGGCGTTTTTTTCTCTTTTCAGGCAGTTCACTTCCCTGACAGATCCTTTGAATTTGAAGTTCTCCCAATCCTTTCCAAATAATAATAATAATAATAATAATAATAATGTAAAAGAGAAAAGGACATATGGATACGAGTTAAGAGTAACTCTCCATCACTGTAACATGATACTATATACAGTCAGAAAGTGCAATAACTAGGCACAAAACTGACATGGGCTTGTACAATTCGTTTTCGCAAAGCTTCCCTTTCTTTACTTATCTTTGATATTTATGACCCACCCAAGTTGGGTGGTGTGCTGCTTTGCTGCTTCGAATTGTAGTTAGACCGCTTTGTCAAATATCGTACTGGTCTCGTCATCGTCCAGTAACAATCGACATTCTTTGTTCCTTTGGGACTGTAGCTTTTGCTCGTTTTCGTTGCGCTTGCCTTCCCCTCTTTGGTCTTTCCATAACCTTGAACCTTCCAAGTTGGAAGGCTGTCGGTTAGCGCTACGGAGATGTGTTGAAGTTAGGTGTCAGGACGTCGAATGTCTCAGTACTCGTTTTGTGCCTAGTTATTGCACTTTCTGACTGTATATAGTATCATGTTACAGTGATGGAGAGTTACTCTTAACTCGTATCCATATGTCCTTTTCTCTTTTACATTTATTTATGGCTCAACATCCGAGTTTCAAATAATAATAATAATAATAATTATTATTGACTGGTTTGAGGGAAAGAGCGATGTGAAAAAGAAGAAAGCGCGATGTGAAAAAGATGATTCGAGCTAGTTTGCATAGAGCACTCATCAGGAATGAACGTTGTACTTAGGACCCAATCAGAAGAAATGAAATTGTAATATTTTCACCTTTCAATTCATGAAAATGGGCCTAGGTCTTTTGACTCTTTTCCCTTTGGTAATTTTCGTATGTCTTTAAAGCAGATGATGTCTGTGTCATTCTGCTCCTCTAGTTAGCAGCATGTAATGCAACTTGCGAAATTACAGGTCACTGTCTAATGCACTTACCTTTGAAGCAAATAGCGCGATATAGGGTTGGAGTATTCATCGAAACGTTACCGATGTTGGTTACAATTCTTTCACCCGGTAATCCTTCAAACTTTAGCCATGCTTTGTAACCCCTATAGGGACTAGAACCATCAGTTGTTGCACACCAGCCGAGCTCTGGAGCCAATAGTTGCATTTTTTCCTTGGCGCACATAGCTTTTGCAGCCTCATAAGACACGGTGTTGGGTGAAACAACTTGAATTACGACTTTTCGCCCAGTCCGGGCATGACCAGTGATATGGGTGCAAAAGCGGATACCTGTATTTGGCAGGTATGGGCACACATGGATGAAAAAAAGAGAACCAGAGACAAATGTTATAATAACTTTATTAGGATGACCCAAAGGCAAATCGCCTATCGAGGGGTTCACCGCCTTGAATGGTTTTGGTATAACAAAGCAAAGAGGCAAGCATAATAATAATAAAAATAACTTTATTAGGATGACCCAAAGGCTGACCTCCTATCGTGGGGACCGTTGTGTGTGTGTGTGTGGGGGGGGGGGGGGGGGGGAGGGGGGGGGGGGAGGTTCGAACTATGCACAGTGAAGGGATATTATTATTTTTTTAATGCGATTAATAGTATAAGTGAAGCGGACATTACAAAATGATGAATGAGAATACATGTATCTAAAATGGTTGTTCCTAATCGATTTTCTTGAGACTATCATCAGGGAAAATCGTCTCACAATAGAGGCTATACGGAGAAACAAACTACTTATAGGTTATCGGATAGTGGGAAGTATACAAGGTGAGGTGTGAAAAAAAACTAAAGTTTCACACCTCACCTTGTATACTTCCCACTATCCGATAACCTATAAGTAGTTTGTTTCTCCGTATAGCCTCTATTGTGAGACGATTTTCCCTGATGATAGTCTCAAGAAAATCGATTAGGAACAACCATTTTAGATACATGTATTCTCATTCATCATTTTGTAATGTCCGCTTCACTTATACTATTAATCGCATTAATAAAGTTATTGTCTCCTCGTCGCCTTTTCATTATTATTTTTATTACAGTGAAGCTTGGTTATAACTTATAACGACATTGGTTATAACGACAGATCAGCTACAACGACAAAAATCCATGGCAGCAGCAATTTTGTATTGATTTGTGTACAAAAATGATCGGTTCCTACGACAACTCGAATAACGACAAATCGAGAATAACGACCAAATTGTCATGCACCGTAGTGTGAAAATGGGTCAAAATAACGACATTCTCACGACTGCGAAGTACGATGTACAATCGATTCTGGCTTTCACAGCTGCTGCGGGCCGGGTGCACAAGATCCTACAGTTCAGTCTAGTGTACATCGACTGTACACTGCACTGCACTGTGCACTCGTACACGCCCGGAAACTTCGAAGGAGTGTCGACATGTCCTGATCTACTGACGGTAAAATACGTGTCCTGTGTACAGGTGTAGTGCGCACTTACCCTCCGTATCTTCCGTATCTTCTGCGACGGATTTTTGCAGCATTCGCCATGCTTCTTTCTCCGAGAAATCACTTTCTCAGTTGTCGTTGGACCAACGACTTGGAAGTTCGAGATGTCTTGCCCTGTCTCTGTTGGAAAGCGAAAGCGCTTCTCCTGCGCGGAAAAGTACGCCATTCTGCAGGAGCTGGACAAAGGTGTAAAGTGGCCATTCGTTCAAGAAAAGTATGGAGTCGCGCACGGTACTCTGGCTGGCTTCATCAAGAACCGAGAGGAGATTGAAGCCAAAGTGAAGAAAGCGACGTCAATGGATGCAAGAGCTCTAGGCAGTCGAGTTTTCCTGAGTTGGACGAAGCACTCCTTGTGTTTTGTTGAAAAAGCACCATTGTGCAGAAAATTAATTTTGCCGCGTTTTGGTGTGCATATTGTGTTGGAAATCCCAAGATCGGATATAGTGACAGATCGCAAATAAGGACTTTTTGGCGTTCCTTCTCGGGTGTCGTTATAACCAAGCTTCACTATATTATGCATTCCCGTGTTGAAGTGTAGCAGCAGTATGCTGTGTCCACAGCTTCGCTTATGCAGAATGGCTTGGGTAAGAGAAGAGGGGAGAGAAAGCAAAAAGGCAACCAACATCTATGAAATAGGTCACAATAACATGAAGAGAACCAACCTACATATGCATGATTGCATAAGAATGGAGACGACAACATAATAATGGCTATAATCATTGTGCCACAAACCGGTACACAGGAGATCTGTCGACAATGTAACGAAACATCAAACTCAGTTACAGTGAAGGGATAACTGTATGTATATGACCAAGGATAGGGTGTACCGGACAAAGTTGCCATTTTTGGGAGCAACGGATTGGGAAGTATAACAGTATTGTGGTAATGAGTGCAAAATCATAAGTTAGCAAGAGTACATAAGCCTGGGCTATGGACTCTTGATGTTAGGGAATTCTTCAGGTGGCTGGGGGGGGGGGGAGGGCAACTTTTTAGGGGTAATTTTCACTACATTTTGAGTGCATCCCGAGTTTATCGGCAAGGAGGAGATGAAACTTGAAAAATGTTTTTTTTTCTCGGTGAGTCTCTGAACAAGGGCCTTCTCTGGCCTCCTACATTTGAAAAAGTTGTATGAAAGGTAGGTGTTATTTTCCACGGACCTGTCATTAATCGTTTTCAAATTTGTCCAAATTTCATCTCCATCCTGCCGATCAACTAAAAAATGCAGGCAATATTTTCCAGAAAAGGGTTGTGGGGGTAGTCCTTTCCCAAAGTTGCTCTTTTAATTCACACTTAGGCCACCCTTTCTTTTTTCGTTGTTTAACGTCCGCGCCCGCGTACCTTTTTGCCTCCGACCGGAAAAAAAACAAGAAAGTAGTAGTACCAATAATATGCGAAGTTGTAAATACATGATTGTGTAGTTTCACAGTGTGCCGATCATGACCTTAAACTTATAATCTTGCCTCCCGGGCATGCCTTTGTCTTGTGTTCTTTTTCTTTTTTCGTTGGCTTTTAAATATCGTACGGTGTGTGTCCTAGTAAAAATCCAGATGTAATGAATTCATGACATGCTAACTCCATGCTATGTACCTGTTTCGTTGGATTCATCAGGCATGTGCTCCAATGTACCATCAAAGAGTGTTGTTCTATGCCTGCAAGTGCCGTTAGACCCAGAAATATTGTATATATCACATGCTTTACTGGTCAAAAGTGTTATTTGTTCCGCATGTTTCTTTAAGCAGTTGCAGGTGTTGGAAGCTGAATATATTCGCACACGTGACCCTGTTCTATGCAAGCAAAAAGAAAATGTTGTAGCACTCACACTTTTTAAATAATACGCACTCACCAGTTTTGTCCACACGCACTCACAGCTGCCACATTCATCTACTGCTACCATTCTCAGATACACTGCAAAGGTTCACACTACACGCGCTATGCACAACCACTAGCTGTGATGCATTCTCACGTTTCTTTTCATATTACTCTAGCTATATAACTGGTTGTTTTTAGTGATTCTTACTATGTGACGATATTCCACTGATGATAGTCACACGAAAACGTTCTGGAATTGTTTCATTTTAATTGTTTATACATGGTGCACAATTGATATTTTTCATTGCTATTTTACGACTGTTGTCTCCTCGTCGGTTACTTGGAAACAAGGTCCTTATCTATACAGCGAAACGATCGTCGTGTGAAACTTCTGCTTGTTACCGCTGCTTGTCGTCCATCCAAATTGTCATAGTCGAAGTACAGTGCTGTTTTACTGAGGGGTTCGGTTTTGCATGATTCCTGGTCGCGTAGCTACCCTCTTTATTGATCTTCGCATCTTTGAGACACACAAGTTGTGTGGAATGTTACTTTGCGTCCTTGAATCGTGGTTTGACCGTATTGTCCAAGGGTTTTGCCAGTATCGTCATCGACCTGCATGAACATCCGCCAATATCAAAACATGGAATGCCTGCAGTGTTCAGCCCATCCACAGGACCAAGCTCCAATGAAGAACACACGCATGCATGTTCTATACGCAGTCAGAGATCACACAGGCCGGGGTATGCAGGGGCGTCAAACATGGTACGACCAATACCACCATAGCCATACCACTTTTCATCTAGAATGGTCCGCAGAGAGTAACTGTAGAGCGCTAAAACATGATCTAGTGGCCAAAAGATCCGATCCCCCCCCCCCCCCCCTCCCCTCCCGGACACTTCCCGGACCTCACTCGTGCCCTGTGACATCCCTGGTATGTATACTGTACTTACGTTGGCAGGCTGGAAATCCGCTCCAGTTACCGTGCACCTCATTTAGAGCATTGCATGTGAAGTTTGTGATGCCATCGACTGGAACGAAGCCTACGTCGCATGCGAGCAGTGCCGTCGTCCCCAAGTATGCCCCTGTGCCGTTCGCGATGCCGCCGTTCTGGACCAGTAGCTGAGAGCAGTAGCCGGGAATCGCTGCACAAGGGCACATGAAATATGTACAGTCAGACCTCACATAACTGCACACATCCTTTTTCCACAAAATATCCGGATAGGCGAGGTAATCGAACACACATAATGTACTTGTATGTATTCATGCCACCAAGAGTACATACCCCTGGGTGTTATGTACTCTTGTTGACATATGCTGTAAATCGGCAATCAATGATATTGTTCCGGATGGCTTGAGATCCGGTTAAAAGAGGACTGGATTATGAGGTCTGACTGCATATGTAATCCGTGCAAATTGGTAAACATTTTCCCAATCACCGTTTTCCTTGATTCCATTTAATTTATTATAAAGAGCACCCGGATACTGAGCCAGAAATAAAATGTAAAAAGGAGAAGAAACACATGAGAACGAGATGTTTTGAAGCTAGGTGTCAGGACGTCGAATGTCTCAGTACTCTGTCAGTTTTGGGCCTAGTTGTTGCACTTTCTGACTGTATCTAGTATCTAGTTACAGTGGTGGAGAGTTACTCAACTCGTTTCCATATGTCCTTTTCCTTTCTACTTCAAGTACTTTTATTATTGGCTCAATTCCCGAGTTTCAAAAAATAAACACCAAATAGTAATCCCATAGCTATGCAACAGACCTAACTTCAGTATCGTTTGGCGCTAGCCAGGGTCCACACAGCTTTGTCACTCCCTGTAAAACGTACAGGTGCCTGTCGTGTGAATACCCCATACGACTGTATTTCACCGAGCGCAACTGAAGTTGCCAGAACAAAACCCAAACATTTCAGTTCAAGTTCTTTTTTTTCTTTTTTTTATTCCACGATGGCGTGACGCCAATAAGGATGATTAATAAGTGCGATAGAACTGGTACTAGCCAGAAACAGCTAGATGGAAATTAACCGGGAGGCAAGAAGCAATGGATCATGAAAAACAAGCGGGGCAATAATGTTAGCAGGGGTGATCGAGATAGTTAAGTACACGTTCGAGATATCAGAAACCAGGGGGATGCGCGGAGCAGGAGCAGGTACTGCTCAAAAGAAGACTGGATGCATTGTTTCGGAAAGAATTTCTACGAGGTTGGGTTGTGATGTCGATAGGGAGTGAGTTGTAGAGGGTGAGGGCACTGTTGATGGGGGAGTCTCGGTGCCTGTTCGTGTGTGCGTGTCCGATGGAGTAGGTACTTGTCTGTCGAAGGGTGTATGGTTGGTGTTGACGTTGTGGTGCAAGATGTGGTTGTTGCAGGTGTGGTGGGGAGGTTTGGTGGTGGATGTCCCATGCTAGTAGGGCTTGTTTAACAAGGAGTCGTGAGCTAAGGGTGGGGAGCTTTGCGTGATGGAGGAGGGAGCTGTGGTGAACTGGTGCAAAGAGGGGAATCCGAAGGCAGATGCGTATAGCACGGCGTTGAATTCTCTCCAGTGTGTCCCGCTGTTGCTGTGTGGTGTTCGAGAGGGCAAGGCTGCCATATTCGAGAACGGGTCGGATGTAGGTTGTGTATATTAACAATAGGCTGGAAGCGTTCATTGTGCCACGTGTCTTGTGGAGTTGGTGTTCTATTTGGCCTTTCGCATTACCATACCAATAGCAATTGTAACATACCTTGGCAGGACTTGCCGTTACCTGAAAACCCAGCGTTACATATGCAGTTGTAGGACCCAACCGTGTTGGTACACGTAGCATTGGAGTCGCAATTGTGAGTCTGATGTAGACACTCATCTCGATCTAGACCACCAGCCAGGTTGAAACACAAGAAATATATACATGTATATGTAGGAGGGACAAGTCAAATTCACGTAATGGATACAGTTAGCACTAATACACTGCCGGTAATGATCGACACTAATTCCAGGAAATAATGAAATCTGCTAATCTGGCGTTTGAGTGCTTCTTGGTTCTATTGTAGTATTCGTTGTTGTCCTGTCCAGTGCTGGGATCCAGCGGATAATGCTCCGAAAATGGTTTGTTTAGTTCCAACCATGATGCTACAAAAGCTACTTTATAACGAGAGAGCTTGAAATTCAGGGCCCTACGCTATGCTTTTTTGCCTAGCTAGCTTGATCCTTGAAGGGTGGTGGCGTTCCTACGGATGCGGAAAGCCTCAGTCTCGCGCGAACTGTGAATTTGTTTAGCTCATCATGCATGTTATTAGAACTTATTAACTGGTTTGAGGGAAAGAGACAAACTGATGGAAATGTTTTTTCCACTGATTGGCTACATCAAACTTTCTCTTTGCATCCGTTCGAGAGTATACCGGTAATACGACACCGTCCTCCACCTTGATGACCTAGGCAAAAAAAGCATAGGGATGTTATAATTTTTTCCATTTCTCCGATTTTTTCTCAAGACATAACCTGGGATTTGAACCCGCACTATCGCCCTTCATGCATTCCCCCGATACAATTCGCATACATACTAGTTCTTCCAAGTTGCTTCACATTATGATCTTGCATTTGGAAGCCCTATATGAATATCGTGGCAAGCTGTTCGTGACCAGGCCCAGCTGTTTTTGCTGGTACGGTACGGAACGGGACACGTACAGTCGAGGCTAATACGACACCGTCTACCACCTTGATGACCTGGGAGAAAAAAGGATAGGGATGTTATACAATTTCCTCCGATACTCTTCATACATACTCATTCTTCCAAGTTGCCTCACGTTATGATCTTGCATTTGAAAGCCCTATTTGAATATTGTGGCCAGCTGTTTGTTGCCAGCTGTCTTTGATGGTACGGTACGGGACAGGTACTCGATAGCGCCAGGCATGCCAATGGCACAAACAAACAAATAAACTTAGAAGTTGCGACTTCGGCGGTAATAGTCATGAAGTTGATTGTTCCAACTATGCAGTCAAGTGTAAAGTTCGGCAAGAAGCATGTGTTCCTAGTTGGACCAATCAACTTCAAACAAATAAACACTAAACTAAAGCTGTGTGGTCCTTGGCTTGCGCCAGAAGTTACTGAAGTAATGTCTTTTGCATAGCTACGGGATTTAATTATAATTTTTCGACATTACTAATAGAAGAATTTTTAATCCAGCGTATGCGCCAAGAGTGAATAGCAACTGAATAGAGCGGTTGTCAGTTGACAAACTCTTTTTATTCCCGTAGCTGTGGAAAAGACGTTACTTCAGAAACGTCTGGCGCTAGCCAGGGTCTACACAGCTTTAATTCCGTGTTTGCTTGTCTGTACCTATGCTTTTTTTTGCCTAGGTCATCAAGGTGTCGCTCTCTTAGTCTCTCTCTGTGTCTCTCAACCTCTGTCTCTGACTCTGTCTCTGTCTCTGACTCTGTCTCTGACTCTGTCTCTGACTCCGTCTCTCTCTGACTCCGTCTCTCTCTGACTCTGTCTCTGACTCCGTCTCTCTCTGACTCTGTCTCTCTGTGTCTCTCTCTGTGTCTCTCTCTGTGTCTCTCTCTGTGTCTCTCTCTGTGTCTCTCTCTGTGTCTCTCTCTGTGTGTCTCTCTCTCTCTCTCTCTCTCTCTCTCTCTCTCTCTCTCTCTCTCTCTCTGTGTCTGTCTGTCTGTCTGTCTCTCTCTTTCTTTCTATCTCTCTCTCTCTGTATCTCTGTCTCTTGCTCTGGCTCTGTGACTGTGTCTGTGTCTGTCTCTGTGTGTCTCTCGACCTCTCCCTCTGTCTTTCTGTTTCTCTGTCTCTGTCTCTGCCTCCTCTGTCTCTGTCTCTTTTACTGTCTCTGTCTCTGTCTCTGTCTCTCTCATTCTCTCTCTCTGTCTCGCCTTCTCTCTCTAGCTGTAACCTGTTTTCCAGGCAGATCACGGATACTGTAAAACATGCGATTTTCTGTGTCTCTGATTTCGGTGATTTCGATAGAGAAACCAATCATCTAAATCTAAATTCCACCTAAAGGCACTAGAGTATGCACTGTATGTGAAGGGACCGTTGGTCACCTAATTCTACATTACACCTGAAACCTGACGGGTCCCTGGCACCGACATTTTAATGCACCTGAAATTACATTTTTCACTCACAAAGCAACTGTTCAGTACATGGGGAGTGGTCTACCAGAGCAATCACACTCACTTCAACTACCACGAGGAAAAACAAAGACCACAATGGCAGGTTCAACGGAGTTGCGCAGAACAAGAACAAACGCTTGAAAAAATTTGTAACTGAAAAAACGTTTTTGCACTCTTTCGCTCCGCTCAGACGTGAAAAAACCCAAATCGTTTTACAATATGCAGATGTAGGAAACAGTGTGAGAGTGTGAATGGACACGAGGGCTGCGTACTATTTTGAGGAGTGAAATGGTCATGAAAAGACACACATGGCAAAATGGTGGTGTGTATACTGTATACCCGCTCAGACAGCGTTCTGTAAGGTTCAGGATTCTTTCACAAACGCATGGATCCATACACTCACCTTGCGGAATAGGTGCAGGTGTAGGTGCAATCATTGAGTGGGCTGTACGCAGGAATGCAAACCAGAAAGTACATGATTTTCCAAAGCAATGTGTGTGCGTGTGTGTGTGTGTGTGTGTGTGTGTGTGTGTGTGTGTGTGTGTGTGTGTGTGTGTGAGTGTGTGTCCCATATGGTGCAGTGGTATGTGCAGCGATTTCCAATCGATAGGTTGCGGGTTCGATTCCCGACGATTATGGTCACACATGTCTTTCTTCTCTTTCTCAGATTCTTCCTGACTTTTCTTTCATTCTCCTGGGTGGTTACCAACAGCCAGTGCATGCCGGAGTATGTGGTGTGATGTGTGTGTGGGAAAAATTAAAAAAAGACCAAAAAGTAGGGATTCACTGGCCAGAAAAAGCCACTTCATAGCTGTGTGGTGTAGACCAGGCTGAATAGTGGCGGTCAATTCTTCAGCCTTGCAAGCTGTTGAATGGTGCAATCCCAGCACAAGCTGCTATGGCTTCTGCTGTAGCATCGCTATCATCGCCTCCGGCGATGGGCGTCCAATGGTCCAATGGTGTGTGTGAGTGTGTGTGTGTGTGTGAGTGTGTGTGTGTGTGTGTGTGTGTGTGTGTGTGTGTGTGTGTGTGTGTGTGTGTGTGTGTGTGTGTGTGTGTGTGTGTGTGTGTGTGTGTGTGCATTAGTGCAGACCTAAAGGCCCTGAATGCTGTGGAGGGATGGTACGATCTGGCAGATTCTCGCCCCGACTGGCGCCGCATGTACCGCTGTTTCGAGTCCGAACCGTCCACGCCCGATGTCCATTGCCAAGTATGTGATCGGTACTTCTCTCGCCCATCAGATGATAAGCGTCACAAATGCTTGGCAGAACGACAGAAACCAGTGTGCAATCAGGCTGGCGCTTGCCAATGTCGTCTCTGCCAACTTTGGTTCCGCAGCCCTGGTGGATTGGCTACCCATCGGTGCCATCACGGACCTGCTCCCAACATCGAGCACCCCGGCAACCCGGTCACTCCGCAGTGCAGCACCTGCCACTGGAGTTTCAAGTCCAGCAGCGGCTTGGCCAGACACAAGTGCGACTGCACGAAACGAAGGACTGTGTCGGAAAGGGCCGACTTCCCGTTTGAGTGCCCTTGCAAAAGGAAGTTCCGACTACGTCACCATCTAGTGCGCCATCAGAAGTGCTGCTCCTCAGCCTCTTCCACCCCTCTCCCCTGACGGGAACCGTGTAACCTATCAAGGCAACGTGTATCAAGGTCAAGGTGTGTGTGTGTGTGTGTGTGTGTGTGTGCGCGTGTGTGCATGCGTGTGTGTGTGTGTGTGTGTGTGTGTGTGTGTGTGTGTGTGTGTGTGTGTGAAGGAGGGAGGGGGGGGGGGGGGATTAAAGACAGAAACATAAAAGTTGCCATGCATGGCAGGGTAAGTGGAGTTAGCAACCCATCATTATTCTTGCCATAGGGCAACATATGCACAGTCAAACCTGGTAAGGACGAACTTGAAGTCACTGAACAACTTTGTTTGTCTTATCGGGAGTTTTTCTTATCTAGATCTGACAAATAAATCATATGGATTGTATTTACGTGAAGGTGCTTACTGTGGTAAATGGGAAGCATTTATTCTCAAAATAAGCCAGAAACAGGTAAGTGCAATGTGCTAGAATTTGTGACTGTGCTTCCAGATACAAACAAATACATTACGATAAAACAATGGATGGAATACGAGTGTGCATGTTAAGCACAGCATCTCAACATCCGAGTTTCATACTGTGTCCACCCGAATTCCTTTTTATACTGCATCACACACAAAAGTGTCAGCACCCTCTGCGCGTACATCTTCACTACCAGTAGGGAATATCCCAGCTCTTTGCGGTGAACCAGGTCAGCGCTGTGCGCATTGACGTCTTCGACCGCGAGCAGTCGAAATTTGTATGTACAAACGGTAAAGGGTTAAATAAATGTCAGGTTCAATGCCCTGTTGCATGCCGCCCGCATCGAGGGCGAGCGCCACGCATGAATGCCACGTTGGGTGTCTTGTTCAATGTCATGTAGATTGCCACGTTGCACAGAGTACACACGTGCATGCACCATGTTTTTTGGACGACATGGTCACCGTGACGCGCGGTGCACACAACCGTAGGCAGAAGCAAAGCATGAGCGTGTAGCAACAGCACTATCAAACACAGCAGTATAGTTCGAGCGGTAGCACGAAGCTGCGTGCACCCATAATGCTACACACACAAGCAACCCTCAGCAGAATGTTGACAATGGATTTGGTCTCGGAACATCACCTACCACCCCCCCCCCCCCCTCTCCCCCCCCCCCTACCCTCCTCCCACCCCTCACCTTCCCTTAAAGATCTCCAGCACCAACTGATAACTTACGTGAGACATGGAAGAACACTTTCTGAGAGTAAGCAGCCGAGGAACTGCTTGTCGATGCGACACGGAAGTAGAAGTCCCCTTCTGTGACATTTCTTAGTGCTACGGTGCTGGCGGACGTGACGATCGACGATGCATTGCTGCCGCCGTGAGCTTGACCGATCTGCACTCTCAGATTTGCCGCTGGGTTAACCGTCGGCAAAGACACGTTGACCGTTGCTAGAAGAGGGTCGTTTGCGGTTATAGTGATGCCGACAATCGGGAACATCGGCCAGGTGAACACAGAGTAGCCTGTAGGGAAAGGGGACGAGATCATGATGTGAGGAATTATCATCGCGTACGGATTTTGGGTAAACGATTACCGGTACCATATTTGATATTTTCCATGAAATTTATAAAGTCGCACTCGTTTATAAGTCACTCTACCCTTTTCGTGTTCGGGCTGTGTGTTTCAAAATAGTCACATTGCTAGGATGTTATACTCGATTATAAGGCCACTCCCTTCTGCATCCAAGAAGTTTAGTGTAAAAAGGTGCCACTTATATTCGGGAATTATGGTACGTCATGAGTGACTACAAGTTTCCGCTCATGCAGATAGGCGTGCCTACTGAGCTTACGTACGTACACATGTACACCACATGCAAGTACCAGTGCGCACTTGCCCATACACACATGGACACACACGAACAGACATATGCAAACACACACTCACAGACATATGCACACTCACACCCACACACATACACACACACACAAACACACACACACACACACACACACACACACACACACACACACTCTCTCTCTCTCTCTCTTTCTCACGCATGCACACTTACACACACACACTCACACATGCCTACTGAGCTTACGTACGTACACGTGTACATCACATGCAAGTACCAGTGCACACTTGCCCATACACACATGGACACAAGCGAACAGACATATGCACACTCACACACACACACACACACACACACACACACACACACACACACGAACAGACATATGCAAACACACACGAACAGACATATGCACACTCACACACACACACACTCACACACACACACACACACACACATTGAACCTTGAACTTGTCCATTGATAGCGAAAGGACTAATTCGGCGGCACACACACACACACACACACACACACACACACACACAAAGACACACACACTCATGCACACACAAACAGCCCCTCTTTCTCTCATGCATTCACCTGGACACAAACATTAATTTTGTATATGACAAGTAAGGTCGACCACATTCTCTTTTGTAGGAGACAAAACAACATTGAATTAGCACATAGGACAGATTCAAATGCAAAAGCGAGTTTATTTTCAGTGAAGAAATGGATGTCCAGGAAAGCATGTGGCTTTTCCAACCATGATATTGTGTGCTGTAATTGTACTAGAATGTGAAAAAATCACGTTTCATGTGTCTTCCCAAGGCCCCTGCACCGAGCGGACTCCTGTTTTGACGGGACAATTTCTGTGCATCAAAGTGCTGTGGATCGAACGTGTATCCCTGGATCAAGCGGAATCCTGTCATAGCAGGACAGTTTCCGCTGCACCGAGGACGTCCGGTCAGCGCAGGTTGTACCCTGCATGATCTGACTTACACTCCAACACATGTCAAGTTCAGGTACACCTAGTGCAATGCAACGTTGGTCGTTGTAGGCAAGTGGTGTTGTGGACATCAAAAAGCCAATACCGACCGCGACAGAAATCCCTACAGTGCACAGGGTTGTGCTCATTTTTAATCATCATTGGCTCTCTATCCGAGTCATTTAAAATTAAATGCGATTGCATCAGTCCAGTTCGCGCCCTGCACGGGGGACAAAACTCGATATTCCCCGACCTTGGCCTGCATAGCGCCCGGCATGACATTGACTGGCAAAATCAGATATAATGGTGCAGCACCGGTTTACACTTCTAAAAGAACTATCACGACAACTTTTGAACAGTCCATTAAGAAACCATGTCCTGCCAAAAAAAAAAAAAAAAATTCACGCTCGAGTTAGACTGAGTTTTCAGCATCCGGAAAACCGGACACCCCAGAAAGGTATGTTATCACATGGATTGCTAAAGATTTTTGACTGGTCCGCTCAAGCACAGCTACTTGCATGCTTAGAAGTTCTCCATTTCGCAAACTCTTTCCACTCTGATGCTGAGCCTGGTCGATAATCTGGTGAATGCAAAGTCTGTGTTCATAGTAAAGAGGGTGTTCACGAGATGGTAAAGTACTAAATTCGAGCAAGAGTACATAACACTAAGAATGTGCAACTCCAGCAATGGGGTCCGGGGCGGCAGAACTTCACATCACCTGATGAAACTCGCACACATTTGTACCCTGTGCATGATAGATGCAGGGTCGTACGCAACCCTGCTTTGCGTTCAACTCGCTTGTGGTCACTTTGCACTGCTTGCCAGCGTAACGTTTTGGACCGTGCCAAGTGAGGTGAAGTTCTGTCATCGCAGCACCCTATAGAGGTTGCGCAGGCAGTTGCACACTCTTGGGGGTTATGTACTCTTGATGCGAGTGGCAAGCTCAAGTTTTAGGGTACAGCCTGACGGGGTCTCACCTGTTGGTGGGGTGCCGGTGTAGGTGAGTGATATTGTGTAGGGCTTCGGGGTGTACATATTGACCCGCGATCGGAAATACGTGCCCTGGTGTCTGACGTGCATCAGAATGCGGTATGGAATGTGGGTGAGGTCGGCCGTGAAGTTATGCGTTTCAAACCACTCGTCTGCCACATGGTCGTAGTACTCCACCTCTACATCAACATTTTGGACGACATACTGCATGAAGATGCTGGTCAGGTTGGGAGTATGTACCATAACATCTGTAGTAGGCGACAGATAGGGGCCGGGAATGGGTGAAAGGATAGGTAGATACAGGATAGGACAATTATGACCGGTAGACTGCCATAGATAGCAGTGCAAGCACTGCTACTGTAAGACCAGATAATTTAACATCAATTAAAGTTAACGGTATCCGGATTTTTGTGGGCTAGCAAGGTGAAATTCTAACGAATTCCGTCTCAATACCGGCAAATGACTGTACATGTACATATCGTTTGTACATAACGACTTCAAATGTTAACGAATTTTCTAAATTCGTTAAATCGTTAGAATTAAATGTTCGTTACTGGTCTAACAGTATGCGTTTGGTATGGCTGTTGCAAATCTACGGTGGCCAACAATTGTCCAGCCATGATGCAGACTCACACTGCACAAGCACACAGTAAGCTTGTATTTATGAGCAAATGTGGATGCCGTTTTCGTCACATCATGAGAGTAAATTGCATCCGCGGCAGCTCAAAGAATTTATTTGGTCACAAAACGGACGCATCCTGCTCGTCGAAATTTACCACACTTTCGACATGTCCTCTCTGACTCCATATCGATGCGAGGAAGAACTCGTTTGTTGTAAACCAGACGAACATATTTACTAGTACCGACGTCCGTGAGTTGTCGTTTTTCATGCTTTCGCGTGGAATATTTCTTCGAGTTCACAGTGAGTTTTTCCAGGCAGCGCTCGAGCGCTCATACGGGCGATCGCCAGGATTGCTAATCTTTTTGAAACTGACTATAGTGCTTTTCGCGTGCCTCAAAATATGCTGAAAAGGTGCTCTTTTTTCAGTGAAAACAGGCCAAAAGTGCTCATTTTCCAGTGAAGCACAGCCATGATACATGTTCAGATATGAACCCAAGCTGAGAAAGGAATACGCACTCTTCCATTTATGGGTCCCAGAAAGGCAAAACAGGAAGTAAAGTTCCAAAAACCCACTTTTTACAGCATTGTGTACACCGCGGTACCGGGTACAAGCTTCACCAACTTGTTGCCCCCCAAAAAAGCGGCGTGCAAAAGCCCATATCGATGCATTCAGCACTCAGGAACTGTGATCGCATGCATGAGCAAACAGATCTTAGGCTTAGCACTTTTTCAGCTAAAAAAGCTCAAAAGGGGCGATATTCACCAAAAAACGCAGTGAACGGCGAAAGAAACGGGCTTTTCCAAAAAGTGCCAAAAAGGGCGAAAAAATGGGCGAGCACCTTTGGGAAATAATGGATGCAGGCCCCGGGATCAGTTTTTTGTATGAAAATGGTGATATTCATGACCACCATCCAACACTTTGGAGGTCGTACCTTCAAATATTCGCTCTCTGAGAGCTCCCAGTTGGTCTAGGAGTTTCTTCAGGACGCTTTTGTATAGCAGTAACCAATTGAGCCCTACTTCATATCCATAATTATGTCCTTTTCCTTTCTACATTTATTATTGGCTCAACATCAGACTTTCATATTTCTGAAATAGTGAAGATGTTCCGCGCAATCTGAGAAGTTAAAGCCCTATGAATCCCAGCACATTATTTAGCGCTCGAGAATATTTGAGCCCTGATAAGCTCAAATCGGCCTATAGCTTTTGCCGAACAAATGGAGAAAATCATGTTTTTGCGTAGTCGAGTCCTTTTCAAAAAAGAAAGGAGTCGAATTCTTGCTGATTCGAGTCTTTCATGTACTGCTAACTCAGTTCGACCTCAGGTGGTGCTTGCTTTATCTCTATTCAAATCTGTACCAGAGAATCAGTTGTACTAGGCTGCGCAGGCAGGCGCTGAACTGGGAGCGCTTGCAAATAATTCACAACTTCAAACAGCGATCGATCGCGCTTCGTTGAAATAATCATGTGTTGAGTGGGTAGGCAGAGTAGCTCACCATCGCATTAGTGAATTTCCTGGAGTTCATGAGGCCAAGCAAGGACTACTCAAGGCTGAGGACCAGTTCTTTTGGCCTCAACAAAGCGAATGGCGTTGATGCCGACTCAGAAATGGCTGTGACTACCTGCCAAAGATCTAGCCAACGAAGTAGACAAGGAGCAGAGGTGTTCACATCGACAACGCAGGATGTTGGTTTTTCAACATGCTACTACTGCTGGAGCAACTTTGAATGCCGGGACAATCGTTAATCATCTACGTATCTGTTGTGGTTGTCAAACTCTTATGTTCTCCGATGTCGATATGAAGGGTTCATGCTAAATGTGCCTACATTATGCACCCTGAGGTGGTGCCATCTCTGCTGTATACATGGTAATCAACAGGAGTGCAACACATGAATCTGGTGTCACTCTTGACGACAACACCATGGCATGGGAGACCGCCAGACGATCGTTCGTGGACAAACCCGACGGCGGTAACAGAAAGATCACCAGGAGAACGAAACAAAAATGGAGGAAATACGAATCTGAGGAGAAGCCAGAGACTAGCGGAGACACGACTGAGAAAAATCGAGAAGGCGGAACCAGTAGCGGCAGGTGAAAGAACGGGCGCAGCAGTGAACACGTCAAGGAGAAAGAAGTGATGGCATGAGGAGATGGAGATGGAGGATGATGATGGGGATGAACAGGATGGTCAGGAGGAAAGCAAGGGTGAGCGGGAACGGGAAGTGGAGGATGAGAGTGATACTGACGAGGAGGAGTTCGACATCGACAAGAGCAAGTCTGCCATCTATAAGCATTTGGTGTCCAGTCCGGATTGTCGTAAGTTGTTTGACGATTCCTGGTTTAGTGTTATTTGTTCAGCATGTTTCTTTAAGCAGTTGCAGGTGTTGGAAGCTGTATATATTCGCACACGTGACCCTGTTCTATGCAAGCAAAAAGAAAATGTTGTAGCACTCACCCTTTTTAAATAATACGCACTCACCAGGTTTGTCCACACGCACTCACAGCTGCCACATTCATCTACTGCTACCATTCTCAGATACACTGCAAAGGTTCACACTACACGCGCTATGCATAACCACTAGCTGTGCTGCATTCTCACGCTTCTTTTCATATTACTCTAGCTATATAACTGGTTGTTTTAGTGATTCTTACTATGTGACGATGTTCCACTGATGATAGCCACACGAAAACGTTCTGGAATTGTTTCATTTTAGTTGTTTATACATGGTGCACAATTGATATTTTTCATTGCTATTTTACGACTGTTGTCTCCTCGTCGGTTACTTGGAAACAAGGTCCTTATCTATACAGCGAAACGATCGTCGTGTGAAACTTCTGCTTGTTACCGCTGCTCGTCGTCCATCCAAATTGTCATAGTCGAAGTACAGTGCTGTTTTACTGAGGGGTTCAGTTTTGCATGATTCCTGGTCGCGTAGCTACCCTCTTTATTGATTTTCGCATCTTTGAGACACACAAGTTGTGTGGAATGTTACTTTGCGTCCTTGAATCGTTGTTTGACCGTATTGTCCAAGGGTTTTGCCAGTATCGTCATCGACATGCATGAACATCCGCCAATATCAAAACATGGAATGCCTGCAGTGTTCAGCCCATCCACAGGACCAAGCTTCAATGAAGAAAACACGCATGCATGTTCTATACGCAGTCAGAGATCACACATGCCGGGGTATGCAGGGGCGTCAAACATGGTACGACCAATACCACCATAGCCATACCACTTTTCATCTAGAATGGTCCGCCGAGAGTAACTGTAGAGCGCTAAAACATGATCTAGTGGCCAAAAGATCCAATCCCCCCCCCCCCTTCCCCCCTACCCCTCCCGGACACTTCCCGGACCTCACTCGTTCCCCCCTCCCCCTCCCCCTTGCCCTGTGACACCCCTGGTATGTATACTGTACTTACATTGGCAGGCTGGAAATCCGCTCCAGTTACCGTGCATCTCATTTAGAGCATTGCATGTGAAGTCTGTGATGCCATCGGCTGGAACGAAGCCTACGTCGCATGCGAGCAGTGCCGTCGTCCCCAAGTATGCCCCTACGCCATTCGCGATGCCGCCGTTCTGGACCAGTAGCTGAGAGCAGTAGCCGGGAATCGCTGCACAAGGGCACATGAAATATGTACAGTCAGACCTCACATAACTGCACACATCCTTTTTCCACAAAATATCCGGATAGGCGAGGTAATCGAACACACATAATGTACTTGTATGTATTCATGCCACCAAGAGTACATACCCCTGGGTGTTATGTACTCTTGTTGACATATGCTGTAAATCGGCAATCAATGATATTGTTCCGGATGGCTTGAGATCCGGTTAGAAGAGGACTGGATAATGAGGTCTGACTGCATATGTAATCCGTGCAAATTGGTAAACATTTTCCCAATCACCGTTTTCCTTGATTCCATTTAATTTATTATAAAGAGCACCCGGATACTGAGCCAGAAATAAAATGTAAAAAGGAGAAGAAACACATGAGAACGAGATGTTTTGAAGCTAGGTGTCAGGACGTCGAATGTCTCAGTACTCTGTCAGTTTTGGGCCTAGTTGTTGCACTTTCTGACTGTATCTAGTATCTAGTTACAGTGGTGGAGAGTTACTCAACTCGTTTCCATATGTCCTTTTCCTTTCTACTTCAAGTACTTTTATTATTGGCTCGATTCCCGAGTTTCAAAAAATAAACACCAAATAGTAATCCCATAGCTATGCAACAGACCTAACTTCAGTATCGTTTGGCGCTAGCCAGGGTCCACATGTGATGTCTGCCTTCACAGTCATGCACAAACACTCAAGGACACAGGTTGAGGTTTGGAAGAATACAATTGGATACAAGTGTGAAGAAGACAGGTAAGAACAGACAACCAGGTCAAGCCAAGCAAGCACTTCAGGCGACTACAGTCAGACCTCGCTTATCCGGTCCTCGTTTATCCGGATCCCTCGCCATCGGGAAGAAAATCGTTGGTTACCGATTTACAGCATATGCCATGCTCACACACAGTATGTGTGTTCGATTATCCGGTTCCCTCGCCTATCCGGATAATTTTCTGGAAAACGGATGTGTGCGGTTATGCGAGGTCTGACTGTAGTCCAAGATGGCGCATGCTG